ATCTGTTATTTGCAATTTATTAAGTTTGATGACCTGGGCTGATGACATTCAGGAATTGTTAGACAAGGTGGTGGTCAGGTCTTAAATAGGATCATATGCCTATCATCCCTAAGAAGCCACGCTTGCTTGTGGATTTTTTTATGTGCCTCCTCCTTCTCTGCTGGCTCCCTTGCAGGCCGGAATCTTCTACCCAGTTATTATGAACACCCGGCTTCCTCTCATGGCTTGGCATCATTGGGATTGTATGCATCAATGGTAATGACACTGTCATGTCTGCGGGTCAGGAGGGCTCTGGAGAGCCAGCCATCCAGTGCGCCACGCTACATTTGAAGAGATAATATTGTTCCTGGTGAAGGTTATTCAGCTGCCAAGCAGCCCTGGTTTTAAAAACAGAACAGCTCCTCCCAGATGACAGGGCTTAACAACAACAGAATGGCAGGCAGCCTAGTTCTTCCTCCAGACAGTGGGGAGGGCTTGGTGTGGGGAGAGGCAGGAGATAACCTGAACCGCAGGGTGCATGACAGATAGGTTCAGGCCGAGGTGTGCCAAAGGCAGCACAAGCTTGGCATTTGCTGGTATATGTGGGTACGACAGTCTGTCAGATTGAACAGCTGGTAGAAGATGCCTTCTTCAAAGGCTTGTCATGAGTAACCCATGATGCTGTGATGCATGTGCATGGGATTCAGAGAAAAGCAGGAGATGCCCTCTATCAGAGTCCAAAGGCAAGATGAAACTCTTGTTTTCTGTTGTTTGTCATTGAATCTGGGCCAAATCCCAACTTCTGAGCGGAGGGTGGGGCCGGGGTAGACAGGGACACATTGCTTTTCAGTGTTGCAAGGTGAAGCCTTCTCAGAGCTGAATGCTGAAGGCAGACACGTCTTCAAAACACGGTATTGTATGAGTCTCCCAGCTCAGATCCAGTCTACTGCTGATTGGTTCCTAGTTACCAATGTTCTATAGACAGAGCCTAATATGTGTGTAGTGGATGTGTCCTGACTATATTTTTCTGTCTCTTTGCACCACTGCTTTAAATGGAGAGATTCACAGCTCTAGGCAATACCTTTTCTATATTCCAGGCTGCCAGGATCTAGATTGCTGCTGAGAAGCATTCTTGAACAGTTGAAAGTGTGTGAATGGTTAGACATGAACTGTCTTTACAGTAGAGCAGTATAGACACAACAGATCCAGAGGATGCAAATGCATGAAGTATGGGGTTAGAGGAGGTTCAAATGTGCTTCTTCTTCCCACCCATGCTTCCACACACATGTTCATACACACTACACATATGCAAACAGACATATACATTTACCACACATACCACTCTTGCACACTATAGACATATACATGAAATGCAAGGTCATGCCACACATATGTAGATAAACATGAATACCACTCACATCTTGGACCTATGCATACCAAATACAAATGTATAAAAATAGTTTCTATATGAATTACAGCATTTGGAGAGGAAGTGAGGTCTGAGAGATGATTTAGTGGGTGAAATGCTTGCTATAATACAAACAAGAGGACCTGCATTTTGGTCTCCACCTCCCATGTTAAAGTCAGGACCTGTCAAGGGTGTCTGTAACCCCAACACTGGGGTGTAGACAAAGGCAGATCCCAGCGGCTGCTGGACAGATAGCCTGATAGAGACATGAGCATCAGGTTCAGTGAAAAGACATTATCTCAAAATCCACAAAACGAAGTAAAACAAAGTGAAGGGAGAAAGATAGAGGAAGACAGCCAATAACCTCACCTGGCTTCCACATACATATGCATGCACAGTCACAGGCACTTATAAACACATGCATACACCACACACATACCTAACCACACACATACACATACACAGCAAATGAATCCATTAATCAAAAAATGAGGCTTCCCAAGCACTTCAAAAGCATTTTAATGTATAATAAACAATTAAAAGTTATTTTTATCAGTACATTTCTTTCCATTAGCCAGTAAACCAAATCAGAGGAAAATAGCTTTAATTGCAAGTATCATCCATCCTTGATTGAACATGCCTTGTGTTCTATGTCCCTGCATCTCCTCAACTCTGTGACTTTCTGTGCTGGTAACCTCCTCATCCCCATTTGCAAACTCACAAGTCCAAGAGTAAACATGCACGCCCCAAACTAGCCTCCTATTTTCTTGACTGGTCAGTCTCAGGAGGGAGTCAAATGTTGCTGCTGCTGCTGGTGGGTGTGGCTGCGGCAGCGGTGGTGGTGTGCGCGTGCGCATGTGTGACTTTTTCAGTGTCCTCTGGACAAAGCAGTGACTTTACAAAGGTCCTGCATTTTTGAGATCTTGGGCCTTAGTTACTACAGAAAAGTGGCTCCTGAATTTCTGTAAGTTAGAGTCCATTTGTTTCTCTCTCTCCAGAAGTTCCCTAGGTAACTCCCTGCTTCCTTCTCCTCCTGATTCAGTCAGCCTCCCAGCAGCTCAAGGTGGAGACAGCAGGAAACAGAATTCAAATTCCTCTCATGTCACACTAAATTCAGCACATACAACGTGCTTTTTAACTCCTCTCTTTCCAAGGTTTCTGAGGTAGTTATCCACAACTTGACTGATCCAGAAACTTTTCAATTCAGACCACCACAAGAGGATATACACAATATGTTAAGGTTTTGCTTCATACCACAAGCCTTGCTAAGAGGGGAGCCCAGAACCAGCATCAAGAACCCCTGTCTAAGCCCAGTCAGTTAATTCCCCTCTCCCTCTCCCTCTCTCCCTTTCTCTAGAGATGAAAAACTCCAAATAGAAAATTGTGACCACCTGGCACGGTTCTGACATTTGAGCACTCTCAACTTTACTTTTAGGCAGTGATGTAGGGAAGTATGATGCCTATTATTCATTGTCGACTTGACAGGATCTAGACATGATCCCCTGGAGAAAAATCTCTGGGCCTTTTTGTGGGGAAGTTCCTGGACTGTCTTAACTAAGGTGGAAAGACCCTCCCTAGATTTGGTGGCATCTTCCTATGGGCTGAGATCTTGAACTGAAAAGGAAAAAGTAAGTGGAGTACTTGCATCCATCCCTTTCTGCTTCCCTATGGAGGATGCAATGAGACCAGCCAGTTCCTGTTCTGTGGCCATGACTTCCCCATCATGATACCCTTGAATCATAAGCCAAAATAAACCCTCCCTTCCTTAAGTTGCTTTTGCTGGCATTTGTCACAGCAACGAGAAAAGTGACTAATTACAGGAAGAAATACCCATTTCTAATAGCATTAACAATTGTCTAGAGAGGGGGTGCCCACAATATGTTGTGATTCTTAGAGGCTGATGGCAGCATAGACAACATTCTCCTGGAAATCTCTGCCAGTGTTTTTGCCTGATTCAGCTAATTATCTTAGTAACCACCAATAGCACCTTGCTTCCTTCCCATCCACAACAAGCACATTCCTAGCTCATTTTAGTTGAAAATGAAGCCCATCTGTTAGGTGACGTTAAGACACAGAGGTGTTCTTATGGGATGTTTGGCCTCCTCTTTAAAATGATTGACAATATGCTACAGGTAAGAGGAGAGCACAGGACAAGCCAAACACTTGCAGAATCTTCCCCCCTTCCCTTTCCCTCCTCTTTCCTCCCCTCCCCTCTCTTCTCCTCTACTCTTCCTCCTCCTCTCCCCTCTCCTCTCCCCTCCTCTTCTCCTCCTCTCCCCTCCTCCCCTCCCCCTCTTCTCCCATCCCCTTTCTTCTCCACTCTCTTCCCCTCTCCTCTCTTCCACTGTTATCTCTCCTCTCCTCCCCCCTCCCCTTTCTCTTTCCTCTCTTCCTTACTTCCTGTTCTGAGCTCTCCTCGTTGATCTAAACAGAAGAGATGGGTATGACCCCCTTGCCTAACCCAGCTTCAACATCGGGCACCTAGCGATTTTGCCCCATTCTTCTCTAGCTTCATGCACAAGAGATATTTTAATGGAAACCCCCTTAGTTATCTTTTTTCTTGTTAAAGAACTGTAAAATCCATTCTCTGAGACACCATGAGATTGCAATCATTTAATTTTTTTCTGTAGTTAGAACAGGAGAATGAAGGAAAGAGAAAAGTGAATATTCTAAGAAAACTAGTGTATTTCCTACACTCCCTGGGGGCTCTTGGCCACACATTACTGATATTTTCTTATCCTTAAGATGATGATGGGACTCCAGGTAAGGACAGGATTCCATACTAGGACAGGATGCTAGATGAGACTGGGACTTCAGGTAAGGGTAGATTTCCTGGTGATAATAACTATGTAAGTGAGCTGTGAAGCTTTGGACAGGAAGGAGGCTGCACATACACCAACTGTGGATGAGAATGGGGTACTTGGTAACGATGGGGCAGCAATGGGAGATAGGATTCTAGTTAAGGGTAGACCTGCAAGTGAGAGTCGGATTCCAAATGATGACAGAACTTCTGGTGAGGATTCAACCACAGGGATGAGGGACTGCAAGGGAAGATGGTATTCCACTGGAGCATGAGACTCGGGGTGAGGATAGGACTCTGCATGAGTTTGGTCCTGAAGGTAAAGACGGATGCAGATTAGGGAGGATCCAAGGTGACGCTACCATGAAGATTGCATAAATTTGGTCCTATAGGTGGGGTGGGCTGATGGTCAGGGTCGACTGCAGGTGATTCTGGTACTGTCTTAACGATGGGATTACAGGTGGGTACAAGGCTGTGGGTGGGGATAAACACCTGTGTGAGTTTGGCCCTGAAGGTGAAGATGGACATCAGATGAGGACTATACGATGGGTAAGGACTCCAAACTTCAGGTGATGGTAGTTTCCTAGTAACTGTGGGAATATAGAGAGTGTGGCGCTGCAGGTGAGGATGGAACTATGGGTAAGGATGTAACTGTAGAAGAAGATGGGTTTGCTGAAGATGGGAACAGGATCTCCTATATTGGGCAAGATCAGCCAGTCCCCTCTCCATGGCTACAAGAAAACAGAGAAAGACATTCCCACCCCCATATACAATGAGTGAGGACCTCTCTGCAAGAGAAGTGGGGTTGCTTACTTAGATTGTCTTCATCCTCCGTGTTTGTGGTGCCAGGACTTAGGTACTTGAAGGGAGCGAGGAAGGTTGACAATATGCTTACTTTGTCTGGAAAGATAAAGAAGAGGAAATGCACTTTTGACATCAAGTTTCAGAAAAACCCAATGCTTTTGTATATTCTCATTACCAAAAGTTTGGACAAGGGAGGTGAAAAGTTAATCATGGCTGCAGACACTTCTTTCTGGCTCCATCTTTTATTGAATTTCTGACAGCATTTTTTTTGGTTTATTATTATTATTATTATTATTATTATTATTATTATTTTATAACACCATTCAGTTCAACATAATAGCCACAGAA